CAGAAGCCACTAGAAGTACCGATGAAAACAAAATCAAGCACTAAACCCTAAACCCCAAAACAGGGACAGGGATAGGCATGGCTTCAGACTCGAGCTTGGAACAGAACACGCAACTTCAGCACTGGACACGCCGTTGCTGCATGGCACTGCATATGTCGAAGCAACCCGGAGTCCGTCTGTGAGGAGCGTAAGGCACTGAAAACGGAATGCGGTGAGCTTCGTGGTTTGCGGTTGGCAAGAACTTTCACCCCGGGCACAAGCAGAACGGTCGTGTCGCGAGGTGCCGTGTTGAGGCGTCGGAAGCTTTGAGTTCGAAGTGCCGCTGGGTCTCCACTCAGCTCCAAAGCTCTGCCGACTTGCCGGCTGTTGTAGTCGCAACGAGGCCTGCGGCTTTCAGTCCTCTGTGCTTGATTGTGCCAGTCGTGCCAGGCAAATCCTTGAGCCGGGAGGTTCGGTGCAGAAATCGTTAGATGCACCAGGGAGCTCGTCTCCGTTTTGCTGGGACAAGTAACTCGAATCTGCTCCCCTGCGTCCAAGTCATACCAGGCTCAAGGGACCATCGCGCCGCTCAGCATCTGCATTTGCCAATGCTGCGGTGCAGCGTTGACGAAAACAACGTCAGCGTAAGCCAGTGCACCTGCTCGTGCCGGCGCAGGCATAGTCCCGAAGGCAACCGTGCCAAGGCTCTCGAACAACGCCGCGTTCTTCCATCGGTACGCTTCCGCAAGCCTGGTTGCGAATGAGATCCCTGTCTGCGGCACTGTCTGCGGATGCCTCCATGGTGCAGGGAAACGTCGCCAATCCCTCCTTCCCTCTTTAAGAACTTTAACGGAAGTCAGGGTCTGCTTCGGAATTGCATGCAAAAGGTGTCAGCACATGTGGGGAGATTCCGGCCCGGTGGTCATGTTGCTTACATTGCTTACACCAGCAGCAAGCATCACGACTCGTTGCTCGAGGTGTGGGCTGTGGTGAAAAGAGGTTGCTGGGATGTCGTTCCGTTGCTATGATGTCTCCTACTTCAGGGACACGTGACCCAAAGAGCGAGGGTGCGCCGGCAGTGAAAAAGAAGTCCGCTGCTGGGAGCTTGAGCTGAACGTTAAATTCAGAAGGCGTTCAGGGCTAGGCAGAGTGAAGCAGAGTCGTAACAAGATCCTCATGGTCTGTGCAGAGTGGGGCAGCGAGTGCAAAGCTAGCGATTCTTGCATGAGCCTAAGCCCTAAACGCTGAGATGTTTGAGGCTACATCGTTGCCGCAGCTGCTTTGGATTGCAGAGGTCGCAGTGTGAAGCTTCATGAGGCCCACAGTAGCACTGCACTGAACAATGGCGCCAGAGCAGGACGACAGGAAACCTTCAGTGCCCAAGTCTCAAGCTGTGTTTTTCCATGCAGTCTAGGGAGCCGGATGGATCCTTGAGCGTGGACTGGTCCTGGAGCTGCAGCTTGGAGGTCTTCGGGTGGAGCAGAAAATGACAGCACACACTTACCTGAAGCTCGGCTTGCAGGGGAAGCATGCAGAGCCATGCTTTCTTTAGACGTATGCAGGATTTCCGCGAGTTCGACCCGGATGTTCAGGCCATGGGACAGTGTCGTTCTGGCTCTCTGGAGGTTGCTTGCTGTGGCTTCAATTCGCATAATGCAGACAAGAACCAGAGACGAAGCAAGACAGTCAACCGCATGCTGGTTTCCGTTCTCCCATGGCATGCGACTACGGTTTTTGGCCAGATCGGCAGCCCTCGGTCGCTGGCTGCTTGTGATGTCCAGGGCATTTTGCCACGGGAGCCCTAGCTTGATTCCTGTGAGCGGCAGTGATGAACGTCGACGCTGTGCTATTCGCATCATCCGTGCTACTGGTTACGAAACTTTTGCCACCAATAAGCAGCATCGTCGTCGTCGCCGTAGTCGTCATCGTAGTAGCAGTAGCAGCAGTAGTAGTCGCAGCGGTAGTGGTGGTGGTAGTAATAGTAGTAGTAGCAGCGGCAGCAGTAGCAGTAGCAGTAGCAGTAGCAGTTTCAGTACTTGTAGTAGAAGTGGTGGTGGTGGTGGTGGTGGTGCTGCTGGTGCTACATACACCCTGTACTATTCGCATCATCCGTGCTATTGATTTCTAAGCTAAATGCCATTAATCAGCGCCGTCGTCACCGTCCTCGTCCCCTGTCCTCGTCCTAAGTCTCGTCGTGTTGCTGGTGTTGTTACTTCTACGGGAAGGGCACTGCGGTCAATGCTATTCTGGTACTCTTCGGCATCACTGTCTGGACGGCTGTCATCATGTGCTTGGAGCTTGAAATCACTACGAAGATGGAGAAGCCTCACTTCACAGGCCATGGAGCTCGCCCTTTTGGCTGCCATGGGGTAGAATTGAATTTCAATGTGGGAGCAGCTTTGGTAGTTCCACAGATCAGAGTTTCAGATGATTCCTGATAGGGCTTGGGACTCGTAGCAGCGGGATCCTCATGATTAAGTTATAAGGACGCTTAAAGGAAGGACCGCGAACAAAGAATCACCCCGCATGATGAAGTTGCAAGGAATTGACGTACAAGCCGCTCGAGGTGTTCCAGCTTCCAGGCCTGTCGTCCAAGTTTACCAAGTTTAGGATTTAGGGTTTAGGGTGTAGGGTCGTTGTAGCTGCAGCAGGTTACGGTGCAAGTGTTCCCCGAAGTCGAAGCAAAGACAAGCACCCTGCCGCAGGCCTAGATCCACGCATCGCCCAGCTCCGATATGATTTCATGGAGGCGTGTTTGCCTAAAGGCTAGGGCTCAGGCCAGAAGCATCTCGGGTCTTTGGAGGTTGGCAGGGATTTGTGTTTGATGGTGCAGCGGCACGGCGGAGGACAACTGACCACCCATGGCCTTGGCATGCATCGCACCGTCTTAGACTTCACTATCGACAGCCTTTGCCAGATCTGTACTCGGCGTCGCTAGGCACGGCGGCAGGATCTCATCCATGCCGCCAAAGAGACGCCGGGCACTCACCCGTGAAGTGAACGCACCGGCTCTGTCTTTGGGGACTCTTTGGCACCGGACTTCGGCTTCTACGGCAAAGCGGGGGTAGTTCCAAGGCGTAAGGTAATCATGGAGCTGGCCGAAGAAGCAGAACGTCGGGCACTCAGCCTTGCCAGATGCTGCGGCACCTCGTCCGTGTGAAGCTCTGCGACCTTTCGGATCTCGAGTTGGCAGCGCAATTGCTCTTCTGCCAGGAGCTGAAAGTTCCAAGGAGAAGGAGCGTGCCGTGGAACCCACGGAGCCGCCGAGGGTTGAGTCTGCGACCTTCGGGCGTCGGAAGGTCGAGTTGGCGTGTGTTGAGTCTTTGGACTCGATGACATTCGCAGGAGTTTGGTGGCGGTGGGCAGGTTGACGTGCATCAGCTGCTCCAGCCGCCGCGGCCTCACAGGGAGGTGGACACTTGCAGCCCTCAGAATCCTTTTCCCGTTAAAGGAACCTCTTTTCTCGCTTCTGCATTCTACTTCCGCATCTGCGTATCTTTATCCCTTTGCATCCTTTGCTATATCTTTGTATTCACCTGGATTCCGGTGCATCCACATGCTTCCACGCCTAGGTATCTATCTCTGTATCAATATCCATGAACCTGCCTACGTGGTACATATATATATATACATATCCATCAACACATGTTTAGCTCTTCTTAAATGCCTGTCTCCATGTCCGCTTGCGTCTCCAGCTCACTCCGTATTTGTCCATCTACCCATCTACAGATTCATCAGGGGCAATGTCTGTATCTACACCCACTGAAACATGCATACAGTGCATGTATGTGAATAGGCAAAGAACGAAAGATTGTGTTATGTACGTGCTCAAGCAGTGTAGTCACAATGTGGGGTTGTTGCACCAGGTGTATTGAAAAGCTGATCGCGAGGCGAGCGCGACGCCCGGGGTTCAGCGTTGCCGGCGCGGTGGGGTGAACGTGTTCGAGTGTTCGACTAAAATCGCGTTTTCCCGTTCCGATGGGGCCGGTGTTTTGGGGTGGGATGAGTCCCTTCGCGTGCGTTCCATAGCTCGCTCGCATCTTGGGCACGGCGAGGTTGCCTCCAACGCCTCCAGTTCTTGCCCTCCCGCTTGTTGTTAGTTTTCTAGGGTGGTTGCTCAGGAGAGCTTGGGCAAATGGATTCTGCACCGTGTTGTGCCTGAGGAACTGGGCGGAGGGCGGACCTCCAGCAATGGCCTCAGTGCCGCAAAAATGCTCAGCAGTGCGATGCAGTGCGACTGTGTCGCATGTGCCGAACAGCTGGATGGCGGCCTGCTACGTTTTTCTGTGGCTCTGTGGCCAGGACCCGAGCTTGGCAGGTGCTCCTACGACGCCAGATGCCGAGAGCAAAGAGCAAGTGGGCAGCAGCCAGGACGGGAGAAGCTTAGTAGCTTAGCATCATCCGGACTCCGCTGCACAATCTGAATCTTTCTGCTAAACCCAAGGCCGTATCCCTCTGCGCTGGGGTTCTTCCGCGAGGCACTTCAGCCGTGTTGGAGCATCTGAACGGCCGCGGAGCATCCAAGAATGTAAAACCTTGTGGACAGTAGGTCGCGTGCCGCGCGTGCTTGGTTGGCCTGTGCCGACAGGTCCTGGACGAATACTCACAGAGCCGAGCCGCGGTGCGCTCGCTTGGGTTGGAGTAGGATTTGCGGGTTGGGGGCTTGGGAGGGCATGCTTGGCTAGGTCTTTCCTTGATCTGCCCTTGTGAGTTTCGTGCAGTTGTTCACGGCAGACAAAAAGCCCATGTTCTGCAGAACCTGTCATACGGTTGAATTCGCCAAATTCCGACTTGTCAACCCAAGAGGACACAAGCCGAATTTTCCACGGCCTAGAATCCCCCCCAAGCGCCCCAAGCACAAACTCCCCCAGGCTCAGAATCGAGAAACGTACACTATCTTGACGACATCTCAAACATGAAATCGTATCCCAAGGCACAGCGGTTTCAACATGCATGGTTAGTGCTGCTGCTGGGCACCACCGTCTCAGTTGTGGTTTCAGGCATCCCCACGTTCGAGTCCGATGTCCTCCAGCTTCGGCTTCGATACCGAGGCCAGGGCATGCGAGGGGCCGGGGCAGCTCGTTGGATGCGGAAAAGCGGCAGGTCACCTTACCGCCGGTGTCTCCTGGCATCAATGGCACTGCCTTCAGGCCCTTCTTTCGTGCGGTCTGCCTCCAATCACGGCACTGGCACCGACCGCAGGTCCCTTCGCCTTGCGGACAAGCGCTCGGCCTCGGAAGGGCAGCTACGAGGATCGACTTTCGCGATGTGGCCGCACATGGCCGAGCCCCTTTCATTGCGCAAGAACAGTCGAGGGCGCCGGAACGGCTCACACTCGCTCCCCTGGTCATGTCAAGCCGTGTGCGCCAGTGCATGCAGATCTGGTCCAACGCCTCAAGTCAGTACCTCGTGGCAACCAGGCGGACGAGGAGCCGCGTTCGCCGCATGTCACATTGACATAAGGCATTGCTAGGCACGAATCGGAATGCTTGTGAGACCTTTCCTTGCAACCGACTTTTGGGAGCAAGCTTAGATGGCTTCGATCCCATCAGAGGAGTTTGCGAGAAAGAGTGCCGAGCTTCATCTCGTTTATCCGAAGATTGAGCGAGGTGCTCAGATTTCCCAGGATACAAATTAGTTGCTATGTGAAGGCCGGAAGCCCGCATGAAGCTGAAGTTGGAGTCCTGCTGTAGGAGTTGTGATCAGGATTTCGGTTTAGAGCTTTGTTAGCAGGAAATCGCCGCAGTTATCGGTGCGAATCACTGGATCCGTATCGCAACTATGCAGAAGGCACCAAATGCATCCATGCAGATCGTGGAATAGCGAGAGGATCGGCGGGACACAGTCAGCGTGAGCGGCTGCAAGGTATGGGTTTCCTCGTGTTCCAAAGATCTCCAAAGCATGTGTATCCTGCAGGAGTTCAGGGTTTTAAATGCGGCCATACATTCAGATGCGGCCCTGCCAAGGGCCAAATGGCGGAAGGAGTTCTTCGCGCGAGCTTCCCAGGGGAGCTGGGACGTAGTAGAGGGTGTCTCTCTCTCTCTCTCTCTCTCTCTCTCTCTCTCTCTCTCTCTCTCTCCCCTCTCTCTCACACTCCATCTATATATCTATCTATCTGTCTCTATCTGTCTCTGTCTATCTATCTATCTATCTCTATCTATCTGTCTCTATCTGTCTCTATCTATCTATCTATCTGTATCTATTTGTCTCTATCTATCTGTCTCTATCTGTCTTTATCTATCTATCTATGTATCTATCTGTATCTATCTATCTATCTCTATCTATCTGTCTCTATCTATCTGTCTCTATCTATCTATCCATCCATCTATCTATCTATCTGAATCTATCTCTATCTATCTCTATCCATCTATCTATCTATCTCTATCTATCTATCTATCTATGTACCTCTATCTATCTGTCTGTCTCTATCTATCTATCTACCTATCTATCTATCTATCTATCTATATCTATTTATCTTTATCTATCTATCTATATCTATTTATCTCTATCTATCTATCTCTATCTATCTATCTCTATCTATCTAT